TAAAATTATCTTTCCCACAACTACTCTCTCACCATGTTTCCCATGTGGATAGGTGCTTCCTGTTCCTCCTAGAACGGTGATGTTGGTGTTTCAGTCCACTTATGGCCCAACTTGGGGTGTAGAGAGGGGGAGGAAGATCTCATCACTTCTTCCCTAGTTTTTGCAAACTTTGTGTTGCAGAAAGGGTGGAAGGACCTAAGGAGAGTTCCAGTTGCCAGCAACCCTATCCACCCTGTGTTCCCCTGCATGGACCTGCTTCTCCTCATGCCCGGGATCTTATTTTGAAACAAACCCCAGACATCATAATCTGTAAACTGTTTGACTATGCAGCTCTAAGAAATAAGTCACCACTTTCTAGAAAGGTTTCTACTGTTTTTGGGGAGTCAGCTCAGGCCAGTGGTTCCTGAGAATCTGGAGGGTGAGTGCCACAGGCAAGCGAGCACCTCTGCTGCCTCCTGGGACAGCGGACTGGCCCCTTTTTTGGTGCCGTGGCCTCCTCTGCCAGGACCTGGGCTGTCCCCAGAGTGGTGCTGCTTGGGGCCTGGGCTGCCACAGGGGACTGTGTCACCTTCAGGCACCAGCAGGGTTCCCCGTGCCAAGCTCGGGGCTGGCATCCCCTCAGTCTGCTGGGTAGGGCAGGACAAGGTAAGCCGAGGGACTCTGTGTCATATTTGCCTTTAAGAGTTCCAGAATAATGAGAGTTCTTTTCTTTTTTGTTTCTACAAAGTTCTTTCATGTCCCTGGTCTCCTTGATGCCCACAGAGCCCCCTGTAGTAGCTTTTATCAGGATGCATGTTAATGTACTCACAGAATCCTAGAGACTTAGCTCCAGTGGCTTGTTCCTGACCAGAGGGATATGGCAGAGGCAGGATTTGAACCTGGGGCTTCTGATGGCATTCTCTATTTGATGAGAGCAAATCCTGTGTCTTACTCCCTCCCTGGAAGGGCACCCGTGACAGCTTCATTTCATGGGCCTGGGGGAGCTTATGGTCTGTTGGGCACCTGCCTGGTTTCTGCCCCTTTGTCCCCTTCACCACTCCATCCTGGCCCAGGGCTGTGTATTCCTGCAGGAAGCCAGGCTCCCCTGTGAATTTCCAAGAGCCCTCTCTGGGTACTCCTGGGCAGGCCCTCTGGGGAACATGTGTTTACCATTTGCCATGGAGACAGTTTGGGCCTTTCTTCCAACAATTTGTTTGGTAATTCTAAGAGACTTGTGAAAAATGCATGAGGCCTTCAATACAATAGATAAGCTGAAAAGCTTGGAAGAAAATCTACTTGTGGATAGCAGGGAGAATGGAAAAACTCTTTGCTTGCTTCCTTCGCCCCCAAGGGAGATCTGTTTAGGAGCGATTCTTCTGTTAGTGCCAGGCTTTCATCCTGCATCCAAAGCTTGTTGGCACCTGCTTGTCAGATATTTTCTCCTTTAGTTTCATGTGGCTTCATTTGCTCCTGAGTTTGGCTTAAATTTGTGTCTTGATTCTGGGTTCTCTCTTTAAAGGTCACTGCCCTCATGCATACCTGGGAACCAGCATCATCCCTGTGTTCCTCAGCAGCTGGAGGATGTACCTCTCGGGCCTGGATGGGGGCTCTTTGGAGGGGAGGAAGGTGTGTGCCCCTGTTTTAAGAGGCTCAGCTTCTGGGGGAGAATGAAGCTGTCCTAGCATGGTGAGCATCTCTGATTTTGCCGCTTTGGTGAAGGAGGGCAGCCCGAGTGTGGCCCTCAGTGCCTCTAACAAGTAATTCCCATGTAGCTTTGAAGGCCACCTCTACAGGTACTGCTCCTTGGGTTTCAAGTGACAGCCTTGAGGGCCTTGAGGTCATCTTTACAAGGACTTTTGGGGTCACCTGCATAACTTGTATTGAAGATGAGCAATCAGGGACTCAGAGTAGCCCAGTGGCTTGCCCAGAGGTGACATGGAGAGGTGGCAGCCCAGGGAGCTTTGGTCTCTTGATCTTGAATCCTCTCCTCACTGCACTGGGCTGCTCTTGGTATATTGGGGGAGGGGGTTGAGGAGCTGAGTGCTTTCACGTCCTGGCCCAGAGTATAGACTTGATGGGGAATTTGGTGGATCAAAGTGTAAAAGGCTTCCGCTCATTTGCACCTGTGTCACACCCACATGATGCCCAGTACTGTCAGTAATGTGATGTTTGTTAGTGGCTAGTCTTTTAACATTAGGATGGTAATGTGATTTATACATGTACATTTTCTTTTGTTTTGTTTTTTTTTGGTACCAGGGATTGAACTTGGGACCTTGCACTTGCAAGGCAGACAGTGGAACCACTGAGCTAAATCCCTGGCCCTACATGTACATTTTTGTGTGAGTCATTGTCGGGGAGTTCTCATGGATGAGGAGCTCTCGTGGAATTAAGAGATCTGGTCTCAAAGAGCATGCCAGTCAGCTTTCTGTTGCTCTGATAAAATACCCGAGAGAAAAAATTTAAATGGGGGAAAGATTTATTTCAACTCACGGTTTCCCAGGTTTCACTCCATGGTCACTTGGCTCCATTGTTTCTGAGCCTGTGTGAAGCAGAACGTGATAGTGAAAGGGCAAGGTGGAGGAGATCTACTCACTTCTTGATGGCCAGGAAGCAGGCAGGGACAGAGAAGAAGTGGCCAGGGGACATAATACAACCCCCAAGGACCCACTCCCTTCAGTTAGGGCTCACCTGTGAAGTTTCTATCACTTCCCAATAATAGTCCATCAAATTATGAACCCAATGATGGATTTGTCCATTGATGGAGTGAGAACCCTCATGATCCAGCCACTCCCCAAAGGCCCCACCTTGGAACATTGCTGCATTGGGAACGAAGCCGTCAACACATGTGCCTCTGGGGAGCATGTATCCTGGCCATGCCATGCTCTGATAAAGGGGTGGTGGCAGGAGGGATAGTTGCCAGTATTGGGCGGTCCCCAGCTGAGAGGCCAGGGCTCAGGCACAGACTGTGGTTGAAGCCTTGGGCAAGATGGTGTGGTCTAAGGGCAGCTGGGATAAATCCTTCCCTAGGGAGCCTCTTGGGCTTCTGTCCCCATGTACCATTCTGTGAATGTTCCACATCAGTTGCCTGGCCCATCCTGTACAAGCAGCTGGTTGATGGCCTACGTGACCTGCTGAGGGTCACATCTCCAAGAGGGAGGAAGAAGTAGTGAGGATGGCTTGTGTTCTGCATTTAGGTCCACGGCACATGTGCAAAGTGCAGTGTGCAGTTAGGGAGACCTCTGGGGGGTGGCAGCAGGCGCGTCTCAAGGGAGTCATCAGCGGGACAGTGCAAGGCTCCCCCAGATGTTCCACTGGCACCACCTAGGGGTAGGGGAAGTTTCTGAACACTCAGAAGACAGAGGAGCCCCCATAAGTCGATGTTTTGGTGTGGAATACAGGGGAGACAGATTCCGGGCAAGAAATGGGTATGAATCTCTGGCACTCACCAAGTGCTCCTAAAATGATGACTAGGACCAAAATAAGTTCCCTGAAAAAAAATTGTAAATAGATCTCTCCTTTTGTTGATAAAGTTTACTAGAAAAGAGGTATGTGAGTGCTTTTTCTCTTGACCTCTGCTGACCTCACAGACTGGTGTGTGGGCCAGGTTGCGGGAGGGCACCTTGGGTGCAGTGGAGCAGGGAATGGAGGGTGGCAGGGGCTCGAGGAAGCTGGTGTGTTGGTTTCCTAGGACTTCTGTAACCAAGCACCACCCCTTGGTGCCTTAAAATAACAGAAATAGATGTATTTTTGTGTGGTTCTGGAGTCTGGGAGTCCAAAACCAAGATGTCAGTTCGGCAGGAGCCTCTGAGGAGAATCTGTCTGTTCATCGCACTCTCCCAGCGCCTGTGGCTGTGGACCATCTTTGGCACTGCTTGGCGTAGAGACACAGTAGCCCAGGGGCCTTACTTTCTGTCATCCTATAAGGAGATCAGTCACTGGGTAAGGACCCACCCATGTCTGCTATAACCTCATGGCCGATACAACCTCAACTTGATTACGTCAAAGACCCTCTTCGCATGGAAGGCCACGTTCACAAGTGTCAGAAGGTTGTGACTTGCACATGTGTTTAGGGGGCACAGTTCTACCCGCCACAGAGGTTAATACCCCAGCCTTTTCCCGAAGACCTTCTCTCGGGGACAGTCTGTTCCTGTGCCTGCCCTTTCTCTCTGGCCCACCAAGGCGGCCCAGGCTCCTGAAGTCGCTGTGGAGTGGAGGGGCCAGGATCTCCGGTGCTTTTTCCTCAGCCTATATTGCTTTCCTAGAAACTTAGCCCTGTTTTTTTATTGAATTATTTTATATATATTGACCCCCCCACACACACACCATGTAAGCCATTACTTCTCCAAGGAGATGGTAAATCCTTTAAAGACCGATTTTCTTCAGTTTTTCTTGCATTTCCGTAGTACCTACCATGAAGCTGGTAGGTACTGAAGGGAAGTCCCTTGGTGTCGATTCCTTTTTCTCCATCACACCTCCCCATAGAGTTTCTCACAATCCCACCATCCTCCCATTCTCCCCCTGGCCCTGCCTTAGAATCCTTGTCGGCACAGGGTGCTGGGCTGGTGCACTCACAGAGTGTAATCAGCACTTGGAGCAGATTTGGTCTCAGGTGAAGCTGTATCCAGGGGACGAACAACATGACCAGAACCTGGTCATCCTTCTGTTCTTGGCTCTAATTTTTAAGTTTGGGCCTCAGTTAGGCCTTCCCTTAAGTTCCTGTGAGGACTACTCACAGCTGCCCAGTCTCCATGCTGCTTCCGTGAGGCCGAGAGCTTTCTTCTCTCAGCATTTCTAGCAGGAGGCCTGAGCTTGGTTCTGTTTGGATGGACTCAGGGTCATATTTCCTCTCCTAAGCCAGGAGCCTGGGGATGCACTCGCTGATTGGTCTAACCAAGGTCATGTGACGGGAAGGACAAGCCAGGGATGGATGATGCATGGAGGGCTCAAGGGATAAAATCTGGCATCTCCCTTGTGTCAGCCTCGGCCTCCCCTCTCTGACCAGGGGTGTGCTTTCCTTTCAGGAGTACATTGATGCACATCCGGAGACCATCGTCCTGGACCCTCTCCCTGCCATCAGGACGCTGCTGGACCGCTCCAAATCCTACGAGCTCATCCGGAAGATTGAGGCCTACATGAAAGGTATGATTGTGCATGTTCAGCATCTGCAGCAAGCAGTCCACCCCTGTAGTCATGGGAGGTCATGGCATGGGGCGGGGGCGCGGCGACTTGTCTGTGTAACCACTTGCCACAGGAGGTGCTGGGGTTTCGTCAGGAGCAGTTGGAGTGATCCTGCTATTCTCCACTGTGTCCACAGAGTTAGGAAATGAAAGCCTCAAGATGCTCTTTGGGAGTGGCTCTGACCATAGAGAAGATTTGGTTTAGCTAAACCCTTGGGGTGGCGGCAATGCAGTGTCCTGATAACAAACACGGGGGGTCCGGGAGAGGGAGTCTAGGGAGTAGCTGGGCAGCAGCAGGTGGGCAAGCAGATTTGTGTAACCAGGCAGAGGAGACGGACAGAAATTAGGGCCATTTCAGCACACCCATTGTCTTGGTTACTTCCTCATTGCTGGGACAAAATACCCGACACTCGTAAGTTAAAGGAGGAAAAGTTTTATCTCCGCTCACAGTTGGTAGAGGTTTTAGTCCATAGTCGGGTAGCTCCAAGGCAGGGTGGCATGGCAGAGGGACATCACAGAGGAGAAACAGTTTGTGGCACAGCAGGCAAGAGACCCTTTTATCCCAAACAGGCCATAAACCATTTGGGTGGTGCCATCCATACCCAGGGTGGGGCTTCTCCAATAAATCCGTTCAGGCATACCCATGGAACTATGCTAATTCCAATACGTGGACTAATTTAGTACCACATACCCTTAATCGCAGTATCATACATCCTAGATCCAGCATCACACAGCCATCATCCAGCCACCTCCCCAAACCCCATCTTTGAACACATGAAGCATTGGGAGGACACTAGATACAAGCCACAGCACCCATGGATATAGGTAATGTGGCTGCTGGGTGTTGTGGGGCATGCTCTGCTCTTGTGGGGTACATGCTAGTCTTGTGGTAGGATCCTCCTTCCTAGCTGTGGGGCCCATACCAGCTGCAGGCTCTGATCCCCATGCCAGGGAGCAGGGTGGCTCCAGAGAAGTCCAGACTGCCTTTTCAAGGTGTGTGTGTACGTGAGTGGGACTCTTTGGGATTTCATGTTAACAGTAACCTTCTAGCTCTCTTCCTATGAGCCCAGTTTCCCTGCCAAGAGCTCTTGTTTCATTTTAAAGAGACTGTTTTGTTTTGTTTTTTTCTTTTTGGTACCGGCGATCGAACTCGGGACCTTGCACTTGCGAGGCAGGCAGTGGAACCAGTGAGCTAAATCCCCAGCCCTCTTGTTTCACTTTAAAGGAAAATGATTTGCCCAGGCCTGGGGGCTGTACCCACAGTTTGGCTCCCCGGGCGAGAGGAAGCCTGTGTACAAGGGGGCCATCGTGGGAGAGGAGAGCACCATTGATTAGATCTGCACCACAGGACTAAGCCTCCCCCTCATGCTGTCTATTTCATTGCTCTGGTGGGCCTGATGATCCTGCCCATTTTACAGATGCAACTACATCAGTTGGCTTTTTGTTACCATATTCAAATACCTGAGATATGCTACATTTTTAAAGTAAAGGGGTGTATGTAGCTCACAACTGTTGAGGCTGAAAGTCTAAACATTATAGCACAGGCTCTAGCAAAATCATCCCTTGCCTGCATTACCTCAACAATGGTGGCAGTGTGCAGGAGGAAGCAGATAATTACATCTTTAACCTGGAGCAGAGAGAATGGGTAGACCAGGCGTGCCCCTTTTATCACAGCCTTCTGTGAGTAGTGCCTCCCAGCCCAGTGACCTAAGGACCTCCCAGTAGGCTCCACGTCTTAAAGGTTCCACTGCCTCTCAGTACTACTACCCTGGTGACCAAGCATCCAATCACATGAGCCTTTGTGGGGTGGGCACACACTTTATCCAATCATACCAGAGATCTTTAGGGCTGAGCAGACACGCTGAGATCCCATGGCATGGGCCAGCATCAGCCAGGCTCTCCATCTCAGGCTCTCAACTTCTAGCACTCAAACTTGGCTTCCGTGTCCATGGCCAGAGGTGCTGGATCTGGCAAACACCTGGGGCCCCGGCCATCAGAGAGTGATGCCCCAGTCTGGAGAGACTACATCCTAGGAGGAGCTGGGTGCTAGGCCTGGCTGTCCTGTAAGGGTCTGGAGGCTTCATTCTCTAGGTGCCTGACACCAGCCGGCCTGATGTGGCGCGTGCGGATAGCTCCTGGGATCCACAGGTGGGCAGGCCTGCTTAGCACGCCAGCAGCCTTGCTTCTTTGGGTCTAGAGTGGTCTGTGTTCCTTCCCTGGTGGGTCCAGAATTTCAGGTGAGGATTGGTTCTGAGAAGGAAATCAGCCTGTTTCCAGAAGGTGTGTTGGTTGGGCACTGTAAGCTCCAGGAGAATACTGTTGAATATGGGAAGGCCTAGCTAGTAGAGGAAGATGGCAGGTCAACAGCCACGTCTGACACCCTTGAACAGTGAATTAGAAGTGACGGTTCAGGGGATCGGGAAGCTGCCACCATGAAGGGGCTTTTTCAGAACTCCTGGAGGGAGACGGACTAAGGCTGGTTCTGAATCTGGGCCCCAGCTGGCAGTGTGGTCTTGGACAACTCACTTGATCCAGCCCAGCCTGTGTTCTGGAAGATGTGGGGATCACTGGGACGACCCCTGTAGAGACTCAGCATGCTGCATGATCCACAGGGTCACTTGGGGCCGGCAGCTATGCTGTTGCTGCTCCTGCTACCATGGCAGGGCCCAGGCAACTGGATTAGGCTACAGAGCCTATGTCAGATCTTTGGGAGTCAACACTCAGGGCTCTGGGGATCAAAGGTGAGCCCGGGTCTGGGGAGCAGGCATGCAGTGTGGCACAGGAGCAAGAGTGAGTACAGCCTGCACAGGAAAGAGCAAGGGAGTGGCAGGCAGGAGGTTGGCTGCAGGGAGCGCATACACACACATGCGTACACACACACACACACACACACACACACACACACACACACACACACACACACACACACACACACACACACACACACACACACACACCCATGCACCTCCTTGCCTGGCTCTGGAATTTGGCTTGTCTGGGTTCAGTGAGGCATCACATTGGGATTCTGAGCCTGTCGATGGGGAGAGTCCCAGTTCAGTTGGGTGTTAGACCGATGGCTCCCACTGCTGCAGTGTGGAGGCTGGGTTGCTCCGAGTGAGGCCCCACATGGAAGCAGAGGAGCCAAGAGCGGAGGTCAGCTCTAGGATGCGGTTAGCAGGGGAACCACCTTGGCCCCTGTGACTGTTGAAATGAGGTGACCCCACCTCCCTCGGGCTGAGAGGTTTCTCCCTGGGCCTTTCCCAGCCCCTTGGGAAAGCTGGCGTACAAAGCTTTGGGGCCCGGGGCCGCTGCTCAGCAGGTCCCACGGAACGGCCATCTGTCCCCTCACCTCTTAGGTCTCCTTTCATGGCTGAGATTTCCCCTCTTTAAACACCAGCTTTTTCTTCAGTCCCTGCTCTGGTCCCTCACTTGCTTCCTTGGGTGAGATGGAAGGTGGGTGCCCTCATCGCTCGCCGGCACCTCTCTGTGAGCCAGCAAGCACACAGCGCCTGCGAGCCGAGCCCCCTCTCAGGCTGGCCCTCGGGGTTGGGCTTGTGCCTTCCTCACACCGGGGAGCTCACCCTCTGGCCGTGGGGTGTTGTTTTTATGGAATCAGAGATAGAGACATGGCCCTGGCCTGGGAGTCTCTCCAGGGGTGGGGTGAGACAGGCCAGGAAGACTCAGGGCCCACGTCAGGCGGGCTCTGTTCCTTCCAGGAGCTTCCTCCTTGGGTCCCCTTAGAGCGGGGACTTGGGTGGTGAGGACTGAGCGTGTGGCGGTGCAATGAGCGCATCTGGGAGAGGTGGCGTGGGGCTTCTTGTGTGAGGCTGGGACCACATGGGCGGGGGGTGCAGCAGGGGAGCCCAGTTTGGGGTGGTATTGCAGGCACTGGCACTGGCAAGTGGGGATGCGGTCTTAGACAAGTGCAGATGTGGCTGGAGACAGCTTTTAGCAGTCATCACCCGTGTCCTGTCGAGGGGTGACTGGTACCTGGGTCCTAGGCCTTCAACAGTGGCCCACACCCAGCCACAGCCCCGAGGGGCTGGTTGACAGGCCTGTGGTGGGACAGCATCAGGCAGGGGCCATTTCGCTAGGCCTGCAAGTCCTTGGTCTCATGTGTTGCCTGCTCAGGAGCCACCTGCTGGGGGAGCAGAGTGGGCCATCCTAGAGAGGCCCCAGTGTCTAGGTCCCGAAAGGGCTTGTTGACTGAACCCTGAAGCCGGCCTGGCCCTAGGCCAACAGGACTTGTTGGGGGGCTGTAAAGGCTGCACCTGGATTTTCCTTATTGTGCTTGCCAAGCCTAGCTTGTATTCTTCCAGAGGCTGGGACTTCCTGGAGCTTTTCCTGCCCAGGAGGGGGCTGTTTGCCGCTGGGCAGGTCTCCGTTGGACCCCCTCCCTCCTGCCCTTTCTGCAGATGCTTGGTGCTCCTGCACCCCACTCCCTGCTATTCCTGGAGGCATCCGACCCTTTTAGGCATACTGTAAACGGACATAATTACCCTTGAAGTTCCCAATAATTATAGCAATCCAAGTGACACTGCTTTTGTGTTGGGAGGAGGGGATTGGGCGAGCCTTTCTGAGCTGTCAGCACCCTCCAGGCTGAGACACTCTCCCTGGTTTCAGAGAACCCAGGCCTCAGGGTAGACTGAGCTGGGGAGGCCGTGACAGGGCTATGTGGCTCTGAGCTGATTAGGGGAGGGAGGTGACTCCTACCTGTGTCCTAAGGCAGAGCTCTTAGACCAGGGTCCACAGTCAGGTCGGCCCTCGTGTCCATGTGGAGCAGCCACTGTGGCAGACCTTGCCCACTTGAGCATCAGAGAGACCGGTAAGGTTTGCTGTCTGGAGCCCAAGCCTCACTTGAGTACCTGGTCTCCATGTACGGTCAGTGCCACCTCCACCCCACATTCTCAGAGCTCACCTTCTTGCCACTAAGAGCTATAAGGAAGCATGGGCCTTTCTCTG